TTAGAAAGATCTCATGCAGACATTCTTATTGTGGAATTAAAAAAATAAATTGAGGAAGGAAGGCTTTCTGTTTAGTGGAATGATAAATGATACCATGAGGGAATATCTCAAGCAAAAACCAAGGAGAACTGATGAGGTGAAATTCGAACTGTAGGCTTCTTTGCCTTTCCATAACCCAATTAAAAAATTGTAGCCTTAAATTGGCTTACTTAAAAATAAACATGCAAAAAACTCGTTAAGTTCTGAACGTCTGTAAGTTATACCTCCACAATGACTGGACTTTTAAAGTACCTATAATCGTAAGTATGTTTATAAATATAGTGGGCTGTGCCATAGTAAATTTAGTTTTGATGATTTGACACACGATGGGAACAAAACTACAGTCAATTCGCTTAAAAACTGGCCCACAATCCTCAATAAAAGCCCGTAGCGTTATATTGGACTATCGCAAAAATTGAACCAATATTGATAATTTTTTTGTAGAAAGATTTGCTACCCTATTTGAATACAAAATATGAAAATTAGTTACCGTCACATGGGGGCTATCTTGAAAAGTCGTTGAATATTGATCATTCTTGGTAGAAAGTCGTGCCACATAATGAAAACACATAATACCAAATTACAGCTAAGGTGACCATACGTCCTCTTCTTTGCAGACAACCTTCTATTTTAACTGGATGTCATCTATAAAATGTATGTTCTCTATCTATATTTCTCTAATCTATATTTTTAAAACATTGTTCAATTTTTATTTTAGTGAAGTCGTATAAAATATGGCTTGCAGTGCTTGCACTGTTCAAACTTTTACTGTACTCTAAAAATATATAAACATTTTCTTATAGTACGTGGAGTTCTTGTTTGTTACATTGAAAACATTTAGATTTTGAGTTTCGTAACACTATTTGTCGGCTTCAGAACCTATAAGAATCTTCTATTAATCCAAATTTTAAAATAGTGTCAAAGTTTCCCGAATCTTTGAAGCACAATAATGACTATTTAACGGTACCGATATATGGGGGATTACCAAAACGTGGACCAAAATATGACATTTTCAATACCTATGAGTAGTAACAATGCCCAAGCTCTATCGGGATTTCAACAGACAGACGGACAGTGAATATTTGGAGGTGTACATTAAAATTAAAATATTCTTTAATAATGTACACGTTCTGGGGACATCAGTTACAAAAGAAAAATACTTACCCTATGACAATTTATTATGCTGGAATTTACCACAATCCATCAGAGCGTCTGAAGAATATAGGATTATTCTGGCCGGCTATCTTCAATTGTTCTGCAAACCTATTCTAATCATATAAGTAGATCTGGACCAAAAATCTAAACGTGTGTTCTGAATACAAAATGTGTTAAAGACGATTCTGCAAAAATATAGAAAGGGAATATTACCTCTTAATATAATTTTAGAACATTCCGACAAACAATATCTCCCATCTTCGCTTTGTATTCGTTGGTATCTCACTCATTTATTGTTTAATCACCTATAACAATCAACTTTTTTGATAGGAATCCATTTAATGTATTGATTTATTTGTTTATTTCTCGCAAAAATTAATAAATCAAAAGCGCACTTTTAATATTTCACTTGTTTGAACATAAATATTTCCAACAGAAATCACCAAGCTAATTTGATTCCGATGCCAGTGCTTAAAACATTTTAACGCCGTTAGAAATTCCTATTCGGCCCCAAAGTCACATTGTTGTGTAATTGTCATTTATTTACACCTGCTTTGGGGAAAAACGAAACACATCGTCGTGCTACTCCACATCGACGAATAATTCCAACAATTCTTTCTTTTCTCCGGTTCCGGATAATTGGTATGGCTTGTATTAGGAATACTCTGGGATTGTTAAGAACAAATAATTCTACAATTGTCCGTACAATTACAATGTCCGCTCAACGTCGTGCCCAAGAAGCTGTGGAAAAGCTCAAAGAGAAGAATCCCTATTTTGAGAAATATGCCGATAAAATAGCAAAACTGCAACAAACCTCACCCGATGAGTTCCTGCAGCGAGTGGACAAAGTTGTGAATCCCATTAAAGAGGGAAAATCACAAAATAGGTAAGGGGTTCATTAAAAATGTACCAAGATTTCATTCATTATTTTTTAATTTTTTATCTTTCATTAGAACCTATTCTGAATTGTTACATCCCAAACCCAAAAAGGAGGCAGCAGCTGAAATTCCCCATAAGAAATTGGAGGATATTATGAAGATTGAATTGTTGGCTGACAAATCAGCTGATGACATTAAACACATATGGTTCGAATATCACAAAACCAAAGATGTTTTGGCCGCCACATTGACTGTGGAACAATATGAATCGTTAATGAAACGTGCCAAGGAACATCCCATATTTTTGTTGCCCCTGCCACGCAGTGAAGGTTTCGAATTCATTATGCTGCAATTCGCCAGCAATACAGTCCATTTCACACCCTTATTGGCTTATCAAGTAAGTTCAAACCCCCATCAAAAGTAATAAGACTGAAGTCATTTAAATTTGTAACAAAATCCGATAGAACAGGGATTACAACTAGTATTAAAAACAATCCATCTCCACTCGGACTGCTTTGAAATTTATGACGTAGGTAGTATTCGATGTAGTGATTTCTATGATGTGCATTTTATATCGGGAACTCCATACTTCCCGTGATATGAGCCCTTAAACTTTCAATTCAAATAACACTTCATTTTTTCTCTTTCAGGTTCATGCCGAAAATGCTCCCGAATGCCTGACTCTGGTCCATTATACCGAAATGCGTGATAAGGGCATTATTTTAATGCGTGGTGAATATGATAGCAACGTATTGAACGCCCAGGAGGCCCAATGTTTAGCCAATGAATTGCAAATGTTCTATTGCAAAGATGATGCGGCTAAACAACAACTTTTGGAAAAATTTACCAAGAAACCAGATGAATTCAAGCATATGGAACTAATAAAAGAAGTTGAAAATATTCAACTTGTTTAAAATAATAAAAATGGACTCTATTTAGAATTGTAGTTAAAGCTTGTTAATTAACAATTAAATATAATTGTTTGTAATATATTTATGGTTTGCAATTATATTTATTTGGCGAACAAAGTGAAAATATTTTCAATATCGGTGTAGGTGTATTTATTTAAATTTTATTGATCATATTTACAATATATAAAATATATATTGTCTTCCACTTGATCTTTCCATCGATTTGTATATACCTTTTGAGCTGGTACATCTTCATTCCTTCTCACAACATGACATAGCCAACGTAGTCGCTGCAGCTCGATACATCTGCCTTCCCTCGGAGAACCGAAATTCCCGAATTATAAATCGATGTGATGTCTTCTTTTTATTGAAAAGACTTTAAAACTTTGGTTTATCCACCAATTGTCTTACATACTTTATTACTTATTTCCAAAGACCACGTTCCGAGATGTTGTCCTCTACTTGGTCTTTCGTGGACTTCTACTTCTGCGTGAACCATCAGTATGCTCGCTTTTATATGCATTTTGAGCTGGGGCATTCTCATTCATTCGCACAACATGGCGTACCCACCGTGGTCGCTGCAGCTCAATACGACGGACTATGTCGATGTCCGCTCGTAAAGCTCGTGGTTCATTCGACGCCTATACTCACCGTCGACCCAGATCGGTCCGTTGATTATTCGAAGAATTTGTCTCTCAAACACCCCCAAGAGCTGCCTCATCTGATTGAGTACCCATGCTTCAGATCCATATAACAGCACGGGTAGTATCAGCGTCTTTTAAAGTATGAGTTTAGTCTGGCGGGAGGTGGCATTGTTTCTAAACTGGTTATTTAGACCATCTGTTGGCCAACACTATCATTCTCCGAACTTCAAAACTAATGTCATTCGTTTTATTTATGTCGGTACCAAGGTATATAACATCTTTGACTACCTCGAAGCTGTAGTTCTCAAGTTACACAGTTGGTCCGAGTCTAATGGACGTTTTGCGCTTTGATACCATCTGCGTTAATACCATCAAACTGTGACCTTGTCTGAAACCTCGTGCGGCATTGAAGGGCTCCGATAGATCCTTTCCGACTTTAACTGCTGACCTTGTGTCACTTAAATTATCCTGCATAGAAAATATATGCAAATATGTATGGAAAAAATATAGCTGATCTTGAAAGATTCTTCTCATTGAGGACTATAAAAAAATATCCGAGCACACTTTTCACCACTTCGATGGCTAACATGTTTTTCAACCGAATTGGATATAGTTTCATGTTTTGGTTTTAATTTTAATTAATTTTAAAAATTAATTATGTTGGTCAAGTTTTTAGGGTATCCGCTGTTTAACAGTATCCCCAAATTTCGATATCTTGAGGATTTTAACCCGTTTTTCGCTCGAATTGTAGTATCGTATGTTGGGTTTTAAATGGGTACTAAATGCCCAGCTTGTGGACATGTCCAGTGCAACCTTTTGAATACTCCTGTACGCGTGCAGGAATTGTGTTAAACATAAGATCTTTAATATAGATATGAGAATGGTTTATTTTGAACTTATCCACAAATTCGAATTGTAAGGAAGATGTGGTAATTTCCGTCGGTAGGGGCGTGGTAACGATCTGAGATCTTCTGTCTAAGGAAACGTTATTTTTGTCGTAGTGGAAGTCCGAATATCGAACATAATTTCTTATAGGGTCTTATTTCGTAGCTACTCCTTAATACAATTTAATGTTTGAGTTTGATTGCGGATCGTAATAAATTTTTTGGAAGAAGTCCATGCTTTCCAAAAGCGTATGTCCAAAAATTTTTTATGGGTGGGGATTTAAGACTTTTTCGTTCTACGTTACGTCACTTACTAACCACTAAACATACCCAAAAAATACAACCCTGTATAAATTGACATTAAATTGAAGAGCATTGCCAATTGCAAATAATTCCATACGGCTCTATAAGTCATCACAGCTCCAAAGACACGAGAGTCTCCCATTGAAGAAAAATTTCCTCGAGAATTGTTTAAGGGGCGAGAAAACATTTGTTAAAACTTTTGCATTTTTCTTCATAAATACCCGCATTTGTTAAAAAATAAATCGACATGGCATCCAGTGAAGGTACAAATAAGCCAGAACAAATTAATTTGGCCAGTTTGAGTTTAGAACAATTGGTACAAATCAAACAAGAATTTGAGCAGGTAAGCAAAAGCAGCAGCGACAGCTGGAGTCAGAATGTCTGAAGGAAATTTCTATGAAAATATTAATGAATAAATTTTTGTTGTTGTTATAGGAAATCAATGGCATCCAAGAATCCCTACAGACATTGTATGATTGCAAAGCCAAATATGCCAGCTCCAAGGAAGCCTTAGAATCATTCCAACCCGAATGGAATGATCGTCAAGTTTTGGTACCACTTACCAGCAGTATGTATGTGCCCGGCCGTATCAAGGATATGGATAATTTTGTCATTGACGTCGGTACTGGCTATTATGTGGAGAAGGTAAGGAAGATCAATGTGTAAGCAAAGGGCACTATAGCATATTTTTGAGTGAGGGGTGATGTCATAAAACAAAAGACCAGATTTTTTTATCAATTCCTTATGATGACACAGGAGTACAAATACCACCGATTTCTTTAAATGAACGATATGGCTAAATCCTTATAACTTTGCAGAAATCTGCAGGATATTTAAAGTGACGGCGATTGATTCGAGTTGGTCTCCGATAACATTCATATGGTTTTGTTCATTCATATGATACTACCTGGACGACTGTTTTGTATAAATGCTATTCAGACCTACCTTATTGTCATGTTGACATAAAGGTTCACTCTATAACTTTTAGACCTCTCTTTTAGAAGCCCACAGCAAATTAGTTACTGCGACGAGATTTCGTTGTGTCGATGAAAATGGTTCACTGGTGTCATGAAAGACCATTGTGAAAACTCAGGACGTCTGAAAGTTTTTTTGGAAGGTCTTAAAGTTCTTCCACTGCCGGTCACTTATATTAGCAACTCACATTGGCTCCGCATAGCTTAGCACTGTCTGACCTATTTGCTTTATAAGATGTTAAGAACATTTCAATCAAGAGACCCGGGATACATTACTATATATGCATACCTGATGGTAGTGTAATATTCGAAAGTAGTAGTTAGGGTTATTTTAGGGATGACGGTTGTTAATTACAACCATTCACTCAGAGACAATTGTCCATTGTGATCATTCTTGACACCTGAAACGAAAAGGGAAAACAACAGAGAATGGATGAGAGGTAAAAAAAATATTTGGAGTTGGAGAGCCTAGAAGGTGGTTATTTTAGCCATGCCAGATTTTTAACGAAGCCAAGGGTCTGATTGGGGTCTATTTTGGAGAAGAAAGCTAGATTTTCAATTTCATATCTGTTTGTGTCTTCTACCACCCAGCTATGGACGTCTATAGAGGATGTGTTCAAATTTTTCTAGCTCGTCTTCGTCCGACAGTAATTCTCTCCGTTGGAGTCCCGTTTCAAAGTGAGGGATCTAATATTGCAGTGATCAGTTATGATCCCCACAATGATTTTGATCTCCTTCTTATTATGTGACAACAGCGAAGAAGTAGAGGTAACACATTTCCCTAAAAAGTATATGATTTTGGGATAATCCATGTTAAATTTCAATGAATCTTTGACTTCTTGTTTTTGAATCTTACACCAGACTAGGGCTCACCAATATAGATGATTTTCAAAGAGAGATCGGTCTTCGTATGCTTAAGGGCATCAAATGTCTGATGTGTCACGTTTTCACGTTTCTAGGTCATTTCTCTACTAGGTGATGTTGGGTTAATGCATTACTGCTTCTCATAGGAGTAGCGCATCAAATCTCTATGCTCTTGGCTACAGAAGTAAAATCGAACTGTACGATTCACCCATAAACACATCTTTCACACCCTTCAATAGCGGGAATGAATTTTCTACAGGCTACAAGAACCATGTGTATGTTTAAGTTAAGGGCGTCTGGTGACAACGATTTGGATGATTTTGAGTTTTTGTCTACAATAGCTTCCTTCCTAAATTGCAGTGGTATATCTCTGGCTGGAAAGATTATTCTTCTTTACGCCATGCACTACCGGAAGGAATGCTCAACAAATGTCATTTAAAAGAAATTTTTAAATTTAAAAATTATTTAATTTATTTTTTAATAATAAATCCTTTTCCTTTTTTCAGAACTTGGAAGGCTCTAAAGACTATTTCAAACGTCGTGTCGAATATGTTCAAGAACAAATTGAGAAAATCGAAAAAATACAAATTCAAAAGAGCCGTTTCTTGAGTGCTGTAGTCGGTGTAATTGAAATGAAACAATTGGCAGCCATGAAACAAATGCAACAACAGCAGCAGACTGCTTAAATCCACAGACAGCAAATTAAACACCAAAACAAGGACATCGATTTTTTTGGACTACTCGCTGCAATAGTTCAATGAAACAACAACAAAACAATTCACTCATTTTGTTTAGTGCACTTAGAAAGTGTTTTTTCATAACAAACTTAAAATCGTATTTAAATAAAACCAAAATAAAAGCTAGCATTTAAAAAATGAAAGTTAAAATAACAAATTTAAGATTTTCTAATGTTTTTATTATTTATATTGGATTATTTCCTTGGATTGTTTTTTTAATTTATTTGGGGGTGGTTTAACAATTTGAATAGAACAATTTAGTTGCATTTGAATTTAGTGTATTAAATATTGGGGTAGTAAAAAATCAAAATAAAATTTTTCAAATTAAAAATGAAGAGTTAAGAAACTGGCAAGTATTTTGGCATTGTTAAATTGTAAATATAAAGATTTCAAATTTAAGATTAAAAAAATTATCTCAATAAGAAATCATTAGGCATTTTGGTTCAATTCGATTATGGTTTCATTGATATTGTGGTTTAACTTTGGTATTAGTTTTTAAATTTAATAATCATTTAAATACAACTTGTTATAATATTCCACTAATGCTAAACAAATAATCATTTGATACATTTTAGTTAACCAACTCGTATTATTAATAACGAACAATAATCTCTTACAACTATAGCATTTCTTTTTTGTTTTCAAAAAATTTATTTCAATTTATCTATTGTATCATTCAACAATTTGACTTTCTCTTCATATACGGATTTCAATTCACGATGTATCTTGGTTTGCAATTCATGTTCACTCTTCAATTTGTCGTAGACATTTTTCGAAATCTGTAATTTCTTCTCTAAAATTGTGCATTTATCTTGTTCTGCCTTAACCCACAGCTGGGCCTTATTCAAACGTTCCTGCATGTGATTACATTCGGCAGTTTTTAAATTCAGCATATCCTTTGTGACTTGTACAACATCTTTCATGGCATCCACTTGAGTTTTCATGGTGGCAATTTGATGTTCCTGCTGTTTGTTGACTTTGGTCTTTTCGAAAAGTAAAGTTTTGGCTTTCAGCAGCAACTCTTCTTGATCTTGTCGTGTCTTGGGGGCATCCACACCGCCCAACATTACTGACTGCTTCAAGGATTGTTCCAATTGATTGACTTTCCTTTTGAGTTTTTCATTTTCAGTTAATGCTTCCTGGTAATGGTAAAATACATTTTATTAAAATAATAGAAATTAAAAAAAGCACACTTGAAAAACTAACCTCCAAATCTTTGCGCAAAGCAGACATACGTTTACGTGATTCCTCTACCAATTGTTGTTTTTCACTTTCCAATGTAAAAACCATATCCAATAATTCATTATCATTCTTGGCATGGTTTTCCACCTGGCCACCAGTAGCTCCTTCCAGTGTCGATTCTGTTTCATTTGAATTTTCTTCACTGTTATTGTTATTTAAATCTTGTACAACTTCGTTATTATTTTCAGCCATTTTTATGAATTATATTTTTTCTTCTTCGATGTTAACAATTATATTTGAAAAGAAAATAGAAAAATACTTTGCGTGTCAACGATTTCCCTCCCTCTGCGATTGTTGATGAAAGTGTACGATCAAAAGATTTTCATTTGATTTTCTCATTCGATTTTTTTGTTTGTGCATGTTCTATTTTTAGGCGCAATTTTTTGGTATCTTCTCAGATATTTGCCTCTTGAGTTTTCTCTTGCTCGCATGCATGGTAAGAACAACGCAGATGGTGGCCAAGTGGATATAAAACGCATGTTTATTTTAATAAAAAGTCGTAAACATTTTCTCTCTAATTTTTGGTTTTGTTTATATTTTGTTCGTCCAATGAGTTTTCATTGATCCCAGAGAATAGTGTAAAGCAATGGATAAATGAAATTTGTTCGATATTATTTTTCAAAAACTGCACTATTTTAGTTTTTTAATATTTGTACATTTTTTTTAAAATCAGGTTTCCATTTTATACTCTCAGTCTTATGACAAAAATTCGAGTACCATTTTGTACCAAATTTCATGATTCGACCTCTAAAGTTTCACCAAAATCAAAATTGTACCAAATGTAGTTCCACTTAGCACACATTATTTCCAAGAGTACCCACCTCAACCATCCAACAAAACTTCCTGCATACCCCGATCCTAGACCCCACAATGATTCCAATTTCAGGATTCAAGTCTATAGATTCACTCACAATATAAATTGTACCAAATTTAGTACACAGTAGTACGAATTTCCAAGCCCACACAGAAACCAAACCCACACCCCCACAGTTATCTTAAATCCAAGATTTAGAATTCCAACTCTATCGGTTCACTCACATTTCATATGGTACCAAATTTAGTTCGCAGTAGTACGAATTTCCAAAACGTCCTACTTAACCCAAACCTTCACCACCACAATGATTCCAAATTCCAAATCTGTCGCTTCCCCCACAAATCAAATTGTACCAAATTTAATACATAGTATAACCAATTTCCAAAACTTCCTACATACCCTAATCCTACATCCCCACAGTGATCCTAAATTCAAGTTTCACGATTCCAACTCTATCGGTTCACCCACAATTCAAATTGTACCAAATTTAATACATATTAGTAAAAATTTTTAAAACTTCCTACATATCTCGATCTAACACCTCAACAGTGATCATGACTCCAAATGTCATGATTCTAGCTCTATTGTTCGCTTAAAATTTAAATTGTACCAAATTTAGAACCATTTAGTACCCATGAATATAAATTGCTTAAATTGAATCCTGACCCCAATCCTACACCACTACAGTGATCCTGACTCCAAATTCCATTATTCCCACTTTATCGGTTCAAGCAAAATCCAAATTGTACCAAATTTAGTACCATTTAGTACTTTTCGTATAAATAAGTATATAATTCCAAAACTACCTACACATCGCTATCCGACGGTAAGGTTAATCTTAAATTTCTGGATTCGAGCTTCATTCGTTTTTCTAAATTCAAATTGTATCTAATTTAGTACAATTAGTACTTTTCGTATACATGAGTACATGTTCTCAAAACTACCTTCTTATACCGAACCTACATCTCAACCTTGCTTCGCATTCCAAATTTCGAGTTTTTAGCTCTATCCGTTCACATAGTACACAATTGTAACAAATTTAGTACATTTTAGTACTTTTCGGATGCTTATGTTCGAATGACAAAGAAAAAAACTTTTGCTACATTTATTCTACACTCCATCAATGATCCTCAATCCAATGGGTCGATTACGGATGGCAACCAGAGTTTAGATGCGTTGCCCGTTGCCAAATTTGCATTATGGATGGCAACTGTTGTCAACTTCAGTTGCTTCAAATAGAATTTTTCGGCAACCATTTATTTCTGGTTGCTGTTTATAATAACTGAACTTTGTAGGCTTCCCATAATGGTTAATATTACTACAAAAGAACTATTTGACCGGATGGAAGCTCAACCAAATGTAGCACGCGGCGGGCGGACTTTTGGCCAAACCAAAGCCACTATCGATGATGTGTGGAAGGCCATTTCAGAAGACCTTAACTGTTGTGGCATTCCAAATGCATGGCAGAAAGTGGCGAACATCTTATTTTGGGTCCATTATATGTACGTGTGTATAATCAATACATCCGACAACATGAACATAATTTTCATCATCAAAAAATAGTTCCACTTAGCTTATCATCACATATAATTAGCTTTTCTGATATATTTTATTCATTTTTTTTGTTTATTTACAATATTTCTAGTTGTAGAAATGTCAAAACTGTATTATCGACAGCAACTGAGAAAAGTTGCTATTCATAATGTTAAGTTTTATTTCAATTGCGTTGCCAGTTGTAATCGCTACTGGAGTTTGGTTGCTTTCCATAATCGACCCACAAATTTCTAGCTGCACCTTTTCACCATATACAAATGTTACCACATTTCCAAAAACCCAGCCTTTGGACCAAGAGTGACCCTCACGCCAAATTTTAATTGTAGCGATGCCAATTGAAATACGCCGGTGTTATACCGCCCGGTCCAAGTGATTCATATCTTATTTCTGTTGACCACCTTGCCAATAAGATCCGACTTCACATTTTTTGGGTTTGGAAGTCGTCGCATTCTGCAGCCTAGGAAATGGGTTCTTGCCAGGAGGTTAAGAGTCTCGTCACTAAAATCAATCCACACGCCATATTCTTTCTTGATACTCCCGATGGATTTAGGGTCCTTGGAGAGTAATTTTCGAAACCTAGCTACGTCGTTAAGTTCATCTATCGATCCACAGAAATCTACCCAATACATTTCCTTGGTCCGCTTGATTTCGCTATTGTATTTATTGAAACTCGATATATAGGAGTACTAATGTCGAGTTTAGTCTCTTGCGCCGAGTTCCCTATTTCAAGACACTGGCTGATATTTTTCCCCAGGATAAGTTAGTGGACAGGATTGCTCATGGCATCGGAGAAGAATGTCAGTAAGATTATTTATGGTCTCATTTAGCTCTTCAGCTAGTTCTATAATAGAAATAAGTGTCAGTTGAGAGTTCATTAGTTCCGAGTAATTATCCCAGTTTGTTCTTCTCGGGTTCTTATACGGAGTTTAGCGACTTATTTTGTAGACTGATCATTTAATTCTTTTAGGTTAATGTTACACCTTTTTTATATCTGTTCAAAACAAAAATTTTCTAACCTTACCCGAATTAAATATAAAAATTCTCTAATAAGCAAGCATTTATTTTTTTCTTCCATTTATTTTCACAGAGAATAGATCCTCCAACGGCATTCTACCACTTCCATTATCAAAATCTGATTTATAAAAGGTTTCAAATTACATTTTTGTTTGAATGTTTTTTTCTAGTTTTATTAGGTGTTTTTGTGTGGGTGTGGTGGTGTATGTATTAATACAATATTTTTATGGGTCGATTACGGATGGCAACTATAGTTTAGTTACGTTGCCAGTTGCCAAATTTGCATTATGGATGGCAACTGTTGTCAACTTCAGTTGCTTCAATTAGAATTTCTCGGCAACCATTTATTTCTGGTTGCTCTTTATAATAACTGAACTTTGTAGGCTTCCCATAATGGTTAATATTACTACAAAAGAACAATTTGAGGTCCTTATTGCCCGAATGGAAGCTCAACCAAATGTAGCACGCGGCGTGCGGACGTTTGGTCAAACCAAAACCACTATCGATGATGTGTGGAAGGTGATTTCAGAAGACCTTAACTGCTATGGCCCACCAAAACGCATTCCAAATAGATGGCAGAAAGTGGCGAAAATCTTTTTTTGGGTCCATGATATGTACGTGTGTATCGGATAAAAAAATATTCTTCTCTTTTCCCTCCTCCGTTAATTTGGATACAATCAAAATTTTACACAGTTTTTCCTCTATTAGCCGGATAACTTCGGCGAAAACCACTGACATTGTCGGTTGAGCCATGCCAAGGTTGAAGTCATTGCTATGGGACTTTTGAAAACTTCCCTCCACAAAAAACATCCGAGCTGCACACATTTTTAAGAGAGGAGGAATTGCTGTTGACCGCCAGGCTTTTCGGAAATCAGGGTTTAAGGCTTCATCTATGTACACAACGGCATCTTTTGGTAGTCGAAAATACGCCTTCAAGCTAATATGAGCAGTTGATTGAACATTTCTCTAAACGTCAGCATCTACTCACAGAACTGATGGTAGTTCTAATAGATTTATCTCTTAAATGCCTTCTAATAAATGACACACCTTGAACATAATTTACATCATCAAAAATAGTTCCACTGAGCTTATCATCACATATAATTCGTTTTTCTGAAATATTTTATTCATTTTTTTTACAATATTTCTAGTTGTAAAAATGTCAAAACAGTATTATCGACAGCAACTGAGAAAAGTTGATATTCATTATGTTAAGTTTTATTTCAATTGCGTTGCCAATTGAACTCGCAACTGGAGTTCGGTTGCTTTCCATAATCGACCCATTAGTTTTGCTTTGCTTGTAAAGGAATTAAAAAACAAAAACTTATTAACGAAAACAAAGAGAAATAGGTTTTTTTTTGTTGTTTTTAAAACAATTTAATTGTTAATAATTATGTATGTGAAGTTCTTTTTCGGAAAATAAGTAGTTGGTGATTTTTTTGTTGGTTTGATGACTTGTAAATGCTTAAAAAAGAAGAGCGCTAAGAGATGATGATTTAATTATATTTAAGACGAAAATGAATACAATAGTGAGTCTCTTTAAAGTTCACCAGCAGCACATGCATCAGCATACGATTTGTCGGGCTTTTCTTCGGGATTCAATTTGATCATGTCATCAATACGCAAAATGGTGATGGCAGCTTCTGTGGCGAATTTCAGAGACTTGATCTTGGACATGGCAGGTTCGAGTACGCCAGCTTTCTTGTTGTCACGGACAACACCTTCAATCAAATCCAAACCGGTCCATTTAAGATCTGCATGTTCAGCCTTGGTCTGGCTGGAATTGTGGTAGGCACGCAATTTGGCTACCAAATCGGTGGCATCCTTGGCGGCGTTGACAGCCAAAGTTTTGGGGATGACCAAAAGAGATTTGGCAAATTCAGCAATGGCCAATTGTTCGCGGGAGCTCAGAGAGGTGGCAAAGTTTTCGAGATAGATGGAAAGAGCAGCCTCAACACAACCACCACCGGCGACGACCTTTTTGCTCTCCAAGACACGCTTGACAACACACAATGAATCGTGGATGGATCTTTCCATTTCATCACAGTAGAAATCGTTGGGGCCACGCAAAATGATGGAGGCGGCAGCTCTGGCCTTGGTGCCCTTGATGAGGATGAGTTCATCATCGCAGATACGTTCCTGGGCAACTTCAGCAGCTTCACCAACCATGGAGGCATCGAAACTTTCATCACCTTCCATATTGGTGAGTGAGGTCAAGAAAGCAGCACCGGTAGCCTTGGCAATAATCTTCAAATCGCTCTTCTTAACACGTCTCACAGCCATGGCGCCGGCTTCAATGAAATATTTCATGCACAAATCATCAACACCACCCGAACACAAAACAACATTAACGCCAGTCGACAAAATTTTGTTAATACGTTCCTTGGTAATGTCCAATTCACGAGCACGAATACCCTCCAACTTATCGGGATCGTTGATCAACACCTGCACGCCCATCTTCATTTTGGTCTTTTGCAAAGAGAAATCCAAACAGGCAATCTTGGCATTGACTATCTTCTTGGGCATTTGTTGGGAGGCAATTGTACAATTGAGAGCATAACCAGGAATCAAAAGAGATTCGCGAGCTGATTTACCATGGGCTTTCAATACATTGACAGCCTTAATCGAGTAGGCGGGGTTGCCCTTGGGATCGGTGATCTAAAAGGAAAATAGCAAGAGAAGGTTTGTTAGAGAATCTATGTTTTTGGAAAATATGTTTCTTTTGTTGTTACCTTAACAGCTTGACAAGCATCAACAACCATGGCTGCAAAGAAATCAGCATCAGCTCCAATGATTTTAGAGCTCATGGATGTTTTGGCAATGTTAATCAAAGAATCACGACCCAATTCATCAACGGGAGCGGTTAAATGTTCAGAGATGTATTTGCAGGCTTCTTTGCAAGCCAAACGGTAACCGGAGATAATTGAGGTTGGATGAATTTTTTGCTTAACCAATTCATCGGCATTCTGTAAAGAAAGAGATAAAAGTGAAGATTATAAATAAAAGACAAATCAAACAATTTTGAATTTTTTAATGAATATTTTTTCTAGGACCATTAGACCAATAACCGTTGATTTTTTAATGAATATTTTTAAAGGACCGTTAGACCAATAAGCGTGGATTTATAAAGGAATATTTTTTAAAGGGCCATTAGATCAATAAGCAAGGATTTTTAATGAATATTTTTTCAAGAACTATTAGACCAATAAGAGTGGATTTTTAATGAAAAAATGTTCAAGGACATTTAGACCAATAAGCTTGGATTTTTTAATGAATATTTTTTCCACGAATGAAAGATCGTCCTTTGGATATTTATCATTTTTTAACAAAACTTTTCGAAGTACATCTCAATGATTCTTCCAATATATTTCCTAAGGGGTGGTACAACACCATCGACCAAAATATTAGTCGACTGTGAAACACCTTTAGCAAGCCCATAAACTATTTTATTCCCTTATTTCCCATAAGTTCGCTGTGACCTGGAACCGGCCCCAAATCATTAAGCCATCATTTCTTGATTGATTCGGATGCCTTTAAGTTAGCTAGAACTACGGATTTAATATGTTCTTCACATAAAACCGTTCGATCTACTCTGAAACCCAAAAAAGTTTAACGAAGTTAGGAACTAATCTCAAATTTATAATCTGGGCCTTGATTGACTATGGGCAGTAATTCTATGATTGTTTCGGATAGCTCTATGAAAGCTAGAACTTTGAATTGAAAAAATTTCCCAAAAAAAAAAAAAAAAAAAAAAAAACATTGCTTCTATCCTTTTTCCGTATTTGAACCGTTTGGTACATTGACAAACAGTCTAGATACTGACTTCAAAAATAATTTTTTGCATGATTAGGTGTAACAAAACAAACCAGGGATAATGCAAAAGCGTTGTGAAATACAAAGGGTATGCATTCAAATCCCTCATTAGAAGATTCTCTGCTGTAAAACTGGTGTGGTCTTCCTGATATTTTAAATTTAAATATTCCCATTACAAATTATTCATGCTTACCTTAAGCAATTCAGCTGCAATGATAACAACAGATGTGGTACCATCACCAACTTCTTCATCCTGCAATTGAGCCAGCTCTACCAAAACCCTGGAAAATGAAAGAAACACATTCAAATAAAATATACACACTTCAAAATAACAATTCCGTTAAAACTTACTTAGCAGCGGGATGTTCAACTTCCAAAAGTTTTAGAATGGTGGCACCATCATTGGTGACAGTGACATCACCGATGTCATCGACCAACATTTTGTCCAAACCCACTGGGCCCAAGGAACTCTTAACAATGTTGGCAATGGAACTGGCAGCCATAACTGGAATACACAAAACAAGAACACATGACGTCATGGTAATGCAACAAACAACAAAAATGACACATAAAGTGACTCCCACTTAGGAAAACTATTAAAGAAACAACCTAACCTCAAATTTGTATAAACATTCGATAAAATAAAATATTGTGGTGAAGCCAATCAGACATCCTTATTGAAATCACAAAATTTCATTCCTTAAACTATGGAAATCGCACATTTGCAAACATGTGTTCGCTGCAATGAATAATCCATTGACAATTGTTTAGCCATGCCGGTCGGTTGGTCTCACCCATTTGCTTCTTCACTATTCATTTATTCAATTTGCAGCAGACCACTAGAGCATCTGTTCAATTTCATCACAAAAAACTTACCATTTTGTGTACGCACAGACTGGCCCGAATGGCGGGTACCAGCTATGGACAAAGGATTTGCAATTGTGGACATTTTGTTGGATGTTTATTGAAAACTTTTTATTTAAATTTAGCAAAAACTTTGCGTGATAATACTCTTTTTCTATCCTATCCACCGAACAAGACCGCCTGACTCACAAAATGCTACTTTCTCGAACAAATGTGTTTTGTGTTCTGTCAATTCAGTGGTGTATGAGGGTACATAAAATTGCAACACTGTTTTGTGATATTGGCAGCACTTTCCCCACTGTAGTAGTACAGCGGTTGGTTTTTTGAGCAAAACTGATTTTGATTCGAACAAAGTAAGCTTTGCAATTGAAGTTGTTGTTGTTTTTTTCTATAAATTGTGTAAAAATTGTTGTGAAGTGTCATTTTGTGCTAGAAATTAGTGAAATTATTGAAAATTTGTGATAAAAACAGCAAAATGATGTTGGATATAAATCAGCGTGTTACGAAGTGTGTTCCATTGTTAAGTATCCTTCAGATTTATTTAACCAAAACGAATCTTGGGCCTGTCGGCTTATAACAATCCAGCAGATGCATAAACCAAAGGTTGGACATCAATTTGGAATTATTTTTGCTGGGATGTGTTAAGCTTCCGCTGTGAAGCTCCTCAGCAATACCAAACAACCTAAAACTACTTACAATTTACTTTCCAGCTACGGACGCTTGTGCCTGGATGCTTTAAACAGCGGGATAAAAGCATTGCAGAAACCAAAATGCATATGGAATCAATCGATTTCATTTTCCAGAACCAAAGCGATTTCCAAAATGCACTATTTTTTAGCTGGTGACACACCTTTTTGGTAGCCCCAACAAATTGAGGTTAGTTTTTTCATCACTTTAAATAATTAATAATACATAGTAATTTTAACGTCTATTTTTCTCCAGCTACGTTGAAGCAGACACAAATCGCATCAGGTTTATAATCAATAATTACTAGTTCCGTCTGGGTGTGAATCCACTGCTTGCGATCATCATGAATTTTGATACCATTGAAAAGTGAAATTAATGAAGGTATGTGTTTCAAATTTTTATTTTTTGTTTTGAGTACATACAACAAATATTCCGAATGTCTGCCTCTACTTCCCATCGGCCAGAAATCGGATCATTTCGATTAAATTTTTCTTTTAATTTTCAATTTTATAAAAAAACAAAAGCAGTTTCACATTTCAATGCATTTCTTACAAAAACAGAAATAAATAACAAAAAGGAGAGGCAAATGTTGTAGGAAATAATCCCCAATTAATAGTCTATGCCTCAAAATAAGTATGATTATATACGATTTTTATTGACAGTTAGATAAAGTACTGTTTTTTTTTCAATAGTCGGCACCAGTTACAATTAGAAATTTAGCTTTAGAAACCAATTATCCAGTGCTCGACATGGCTAATACGCTCACTTTATAGGTTAGAAAGTTTTGAGATTGAAACCAATTATATTATTGTGTACTCTAAACTTTTTTTATGAGTTAATCGTTCTTTTAATAATTATTTAACATTGGGAAATTTTGAGCCAAAATGTGCTGGTTTTTCACCCATATGCGGACTATAGGAAAATCCTAAATTGGATAAAAAATATCATAATTACAAATATTTTCTGAAAATTTTAAATTCTAAAGTATTCTTCTATATGTATTTTTACTATTGTAAAAAAATCGAGAGAATAGTTTATAATTTTAATATATTTCATTATTATGGGATATATAATTTATAATATCAATTCACAAAGAGTGATTTAAGTGAAGTGATATTTATCAACGTAACGGGTGTGACCTTAAGTTTTCATTAAAAAAATTATATATGTAATATATCATGAATTATGGATAGTATACTGTTTATTATAAACATTGTTCCAAATCATTTCCGTTATTATTTAATTATATATGAATATATTAATAAGTAACGGGTGTGACACAGTCCCAATCTAGATGTGTAAAAAGTAAAACCAGTAAATGCAGATAATATTTTCGAAATAAAAATGATTTCTTTTTATTCACAAATTCATGACTATACTTCAGTGTTACTTTAAAATTGAAATTTGAGTGATATACGCATAGACAAACATCATGTGGAATTTCACCAACAATGCAAATGTTTTTTGGTCAGTATGAACAAAACATAGATTTTCCAACATTAACGTTCGGCTTTTCTTGTCAAAACTGATGATAAGACTCTAAGGCTCATTATTAAATATCGTTTTTGAATTTGAATCCGTTTTCCAGTTATGGGATCTTTTATGGATTTATAATCTTTGACCCCGGGACTTTGATGACTTATATCATCTCTAATGAAAAACTGTTTTATTTTCGATATCACCTCTTAAGGAGTTGCGTTACATTTTGTTTCGGTATCATGCAAAGCTTTTGGTAATTTCGAAAGAAGTATTTCAGAAGCAGTTTCGAATAAAAGAGCTTTCTTTTTTGATGGATCCGCAATAATTTGTTTTTACTTTAGTCACAGCTTTCTTCAGAGATCTTTTTGATTTATAAGACCTAATTTGCGAATTCGAAAAATTCTCTTACTTTCTCTGCACTTCTTCTGACGCTTTCTGTTCCATTTTGTTATCCCGACGTTTCTTGTCTCTTTTTCCAGATATTTTTTTAATTTAGTTGGATCTTTTTTCAACTCAAACCGAAATTTTTGCATTCTATTTTTGAATTCAATAGCTCAAATAGTGATATTGATATTTTGAAATTAATTTAAATTTGTCCTCGATTTCCGTGTAACGGGTGTGACAGATCTTATGATTCAACTACTAGCTTAAATATTAAAATAATTCTGAAACCTTTTTATTCATTTTATACAAAATAACTCTGACCCAACATGTGCAAAACATGTTATATCCACATCCACATAAAATTTTACTTTATATATTTTTACCGTAACGGGTGTGACAAACGAGACCTTCGTGGTACAAAGACGTTTACAGGCAATAAATATTTCCAATAAGCTACGATTTTACACTAAACAATACTTAAATATGTTTACTTTTATGTGGCCAAAAGTCAAATATCGTAAAAGGAAAAATGGAAATAAAAACTCGTCTAAAACGAAAGCAATGATGTTTGGCATGTTTAAAAACGTCTTTCCTGATCCAAATATTAAAATTTGTAATAATAAAATTGACTTTGTAACCCACCATAGACTATTAGGCGTGGTTCTTGATAATGAACTATCGTTTCGGCACCATGTAGATACTTTATCCGGTAGAATTTGGGGATCACTAAGACAAATTTATGCATCAAATATATATATGCCTATCAATATTAAGAAGAAAGTAGCTCATGCTATACTGTTGTCAAATATCCTGTATGGTATTGAAATTGTATCAGGTTGTATTGGTATAAATATTGCTCGGTTACGTAGGACTTTGAATGCTGTTGTGCGTTTTATATATAATGTTCCAGTCAGAAGACCTATATCTGAATATGTAAAACGCTTTTTAGGTTGTTCTTTTTTTAATTTCATTTCTTATCGAAATATACTGACATTTTATAATATAATAAAAACTGGCGAGCCTAAACCATTAACCAGCACGTTTTCTTTTTCACATTCTTCGAGAAACCCTCAAGTGGTGATACCAAGAATTTATAAATCCATTTATGCAACATCATTTGTAGTTAGGGTAGGACGATGTTGGAATTTATTGCCATATGATCTAAGAATATTCTCCCATTCTAATAACGTGTTTAAAAGAAAACTTCATCTATATTTTGGTTTACAGCAATGATTTGTGGTTTTGAAATTTATTATTCTTCTTTTTACTACTGGTTTACTGGACATAATCTCATCTCTTTTCTTATTATTGTTTATATTTTATGGCTGGGGAGCCAAGAATAATTAGAGTAATTAAAAATTTAAATTTTAGTATTTTATAATGAATATTAGTTTTTATAAGCTCGGGTTTGTTGTTAACTACGTAATATTAAATATGGTCTTATAGGCCTTGTATTACATAAATGAATAAATAAAATAAAATAAATAAATAAAATGTATTCTTACAAAAAAACTGGTACTATATTTTATCAACTCTTCATTGATATTTAAAATTATATTGTTAGTGATATCGGTTATATTTTTTTACTAAAATCTATTATTAATGTTTAAATGAGCTGGGGGCAGTTTACGTGGAATCACCCTATAGTTATGAGTCTTTAAAATTGGTCATGCCCACTTTTTTTTTTTTTTAAAAAACATGAATTGGAGCTAGAGACGAAAGAACCACAATGAGAAAAACCTTAATATCAGTCTAATAAATAAATTTAGCTTTATGAAATTTTACACATAGATTATTTAAGGTAGTCTTCATATTTGTTGATAGAATTTTTTGTTAGTAGAGCTTCAATATCCTAGATGCCGATTACAGATACAAGCCGACAGTAGGAGTCGACATTGGTCTGAAATCAGATTATTTCAACAGCATTTGATATTTTCTTTCGTCAGTTATACTTTGGGAAGATGGTACTATCAAGCATATTATATCAATACTTCCTCGATTTGAATCAAACCCACTTCTTCCGTTCAACGAGATTTTTTATACCATTGTATTGGGAAATAATTTATGATACGTTTCTAAAAAATGTCGTTAGATGTATTGCAATATGTTATGATATATTCAAAATAACTTTCAGGAAGTGTCCATATACACGTTGATACGGCGAAAATGTACCTTATCACAACATTGGTTTAAGACACCATGTTTCTTTGGACCAAATCTGTTTGACACAATTTGAAGGCGATTTTCGATTTGGGGAATATCGGTCTCTCCTTCTGTACCTCCCTTACAAAATGTCAAACTTTTTTTGAAAATGAATTTTATAATATCATGCGAATGGACTATCCGATTTGACCTAAACTTTGCGCCACCCAAGATTGTCTGTTTAATGTTGGAAGATCGGTCCACACCTTCTCTTACCTCCCTCATACAGTGTTACAATTATGAGAAATTGTAATTCTCATATGAACCGAACAGAGTGTACAAATTTATAGAATTTGTACACTCTGTTCGGTTAATTTGAAAAAAAAAAAATGAATCACCGTTTTGACCCATTGTCTGCCCATCGTACTACAACCTCTTCTGATACCCCTCCACAGATGGTCATCTCTAATTCCGTAGACCACCGCAAACCATAATTTATTATTATTTTTTTT